TTTTTCCTTAAAATTGTCTACATGATATATATCAACATATATATCAAAATAGGTAGCTGTCAATATATAGACATACACAATATATATCAATGTATGTCTCAATCTATCTATATCATCTATATCTATATCTATAATCTTGCCTTTCCACATAGCAAGACGTACATGTGGAAGTCAATGATAATATGAGCTCTATATAAAGGTTGGCCTACTCTTTACATGGAACAACCTCCCCATCATGTGGACTGTCAGAATATTGCTACTGAAGTTAGAGCCATGCCATAGTCCTGTAACTCTCAGCATCAACTAATTTTAAATGAAAAGAATCGAGATCCTGGTAGATTCTTATTTTTTTTTTTAAAGATTTTATTTTTTCCTTTTTCTCCCCAAAGCCCCCTGGTACATAGTTGTATATTCTTCTTTGTGGGTCCTTCTAGTTGTGGCATGTGGGACGCTGCCTCAGCGTGGTCTGATGAGCAGTGCCATGTCTGCGCCCAGGATTCGAACCAACGAAACACTGGGCCGCCTGCAGCGGAGCGTGCAAACTTAACCCCTCGGCCACGGGGCCAGCCTAGGTAGATTCTTATTTTTATAGCTCATACTATTTCAGTTTTTCTGTGTGTCAGTCAGTAGTCTCAGCACCTTACAAGGGCCATTTCATTTAATCATTCCGACAATCCTGTAAAACAAGTAATCTTGTTATCTTCATTTCACAGACAAGAAAATTGAGGCTTGTCCAAGATTACAGACACAAGCGACAAAGTCTGAAATTGATCTAAGGGTCAAATTCAGTCCTTGGAGGAGATAGTTCTTGCCTCGGGTCTTCTTCATAAAATTTAACAAGGAATAACAGCTTCTGGATAAATATAAAATAATAATATTAATTTTTGTTAATTGAGAACCAATGTGTCTGATACTGTCTAGATCCTTTAAATATTCTTCATTATTATTTTACCATTCTAGTAAAGTCTTCATGGTGAGAGGTTAGGAAATGTTAAGGTCAACAGCTACCAACCACCAAAGACCTAGGAATTGAGGTCATTCTTGCTCCAAAGTTTGTGTGGTTTCCATTAGTGATCAAGGCTATAAGAAATCAGCTGGGAAATGAGAACTTTTCTCCTTAGCAAAGTTGGTAAGATTAGCTACAATGAATATTTCTCTGCACCAGCAGACCCATCTCCCCAGGGGTAGATGAGAGACAGATGGGAAGATCTTAATGTTTCCCTCGTATAATTCAGGTTTGCTTTTAGTGTGCTATTAAGAATTAATTAAGAATTAATGCACTCCTCATTTGTTTGCTCTGAGAGAAAAACACAAATGGCTTTTTGGGATTGTGTTGATCTAAAGTGCTTGAAAAGTGAGTCTCACTTTGCATTAACTAGAGATGTTATCTGAAAAAGACTAAATCATACATCAAACACTTAGGACAAACAAGAATACACTTTTCCTTCATGCTTTCATTTGTTTATTCACATTCATTTATTCAACAAATATTTACTGAACACGTGCTATGTATAAGGCTCGGTGCTTCTTTACCTTAAAATCTGGCAGCAAGTATATGACACAGAGAGCCACAGTTTTCCAGCACAGAGGGATAAGAGGTCAGCATTCACCCACGGAAGAGGGTCTGAGAACAGGCTTTCTGGGAGAGCTGGCATGTGAGCAGATCCTTGGAGGAAGGGGGACAGTGACAGGTAAAGATGGCAGAAGGAGCAGCAAGATCCACTCAGAGGGGGCATCATGTGCAAAGGCATGGCAGAAACCCAGGAACAGTGAATGGTGTAGTGAAGGCTGTGGCTACAAAGATCGGGGGGCGTTACACTGTGAGAGGCTTTGAAGGTTTTGCTAAGGAGTTTACCTCTAGGCCAGGGGTTCTCAAAGTGAGTTCTCCAGTCCAAAAGCATCAGCATCACCTCTGACTCAGAGTTTCTGGGGGCAGGGTTTAGCAATCTGTAGTTTAACAGCCCCTCCAGGTGATGCTGATGCACGCTAAAGGCTGAGAACCAGTGAATAGCCAGCCCTTCCAAACAGCTGTGTGTGCTGTGAATGGGTGGCAGGTGTGCGGGAAATACTGCCCTCCGCAGCCCTCAGGCTGGCTAGACAGGCCCTGTGGAAGCTGGAGCTCCTGGGGATGACGGCTGCTAGCACAAGCAGCCTCATTCTGTTCCCCTAGGGTACCAAACTCCTTGCTCTGAAGAAGGAGCCCTGCGAAGAGCAAGTGTCAGCCTGTGGGCGGAATCTGCCATGTGGTCTGTTTCTGGGAGTCACCCTCCTGCCGCGCAACCTAAGAATGATGTTTACATTTTTAAAGCGTTGGAAAGAAGAAAAGGAAGAGGCGGAGGAAGAAGAAGAAAATGATGAGGAAGGAGGAGGATGAGAAAAAGGAAAAGGAAGAACAAAAGGAGGAAGGGACAGTGTGATGGAATGTGGCCGGCAAAGTCTAAAATACTTACCATCTGATCCTTTACAGAAAAAGTCTGCTGACCCCTGGTGTAGACAACGAGAAATCGTTTCTGAGAAGAGAAATAGGTCCAAAGGATGAATTAAAGAAATTTAATATAACAACAGTGTATAGGAAAGAAAACGTGAAAAGAGCTGGGAGCGGAGAAGCCAAACAGGGAACACAAAAGAAATGGTAATGTTCTAAACAATGCAATGCTTTTTGAATAGAAAGAAGAAATGGGTCTGTAATGCTTATAGAAACAGTGTAATTTAATTGTAAGTTGATCCAAGAGCTATGCCATAGTAAGGTTCTCAACAACTGAAGAAATCACAGACTATGACCAGTTCAGCAGTCTCTTGGGGTTTGGCTTGGTTTAGTTTTGAGAGAGTAGCACAGTGTTGAGAGCATGAACTCGGGAGCCTCTTGTCTGGTGTGGACAAAAACAACCTTAAGTGCTTAGTAGGTGTTTAGAATTACCTCATAATGTTTAATTGCGCTCTAGAACTGTGATATGCATAGAAATCACTCAATTATCTTCTTGGAATGCCAATTCCAGTCTAGTAGGTCTGGATTGGGCCTGAGATTTTTCATTTCTAAGAAGTTTCCAGGTGGGGACCACACTTCAAGTAGCAAAGGTCTAGACTAGACATGTGTGGTTATTTGAAAAGCACATTTTAAAGGTCGTATATCAAACCTGGGAAGTAATTTCTCCATCCACAGAAATCAAAGGCACCTTGTCTGCTGTAATACATGATTTAATTGGTCACCAAAGCACACCCGCCCCTGCTGTTGGTTACTGGAAATTCTGCCCTCTCAGAGTGGTAGTTTTCAGGGACAAGTGCCTGGATATGGAATAAAGATTAGAATGGAATAAAGGAAAGAAAAGGAAGGTAATGGACATGGTGAGTGGAGAAAACATGACGGGTCCTCCTTCCAGTGGCTAGAGGCAGTCTACCCTAATGGTTTGGGGAGTCACACTCCCTTAGACTTCGAATCTGGGCTCCTCCACTTACTAGCTGCATGACCTGACACAAATCATTTACCCTCCTGTGCTGTGCTTCTTCATCCATTGAGGGGGATCACAATTCCTGGAAGAGTAGTTATAGGCAGTAAAAGAGAAAATGTCAGAAAATGACGCAATGCAGTAGTGAGACTGTTAAAAACTATAATAAACACTAGATAATTGAAATCTTTAATTATCAGAGATAAAAATGTAGCAGCTTGAGATGCAAAGGAAGGTCTCCAACCATCACAAATGTTAAGCAAATAGCCTAGAAATTTATTAACATCACTACAGGATAAATAGCCCCAAATAGAGCTTTAAAAACACATGTTGATCCATATATAGGACTTTTTTCTTAAATATTTGGAATTCCCTCCAAAGAAATGACATTTATATAATGCGGGACATCATTAGGTATTTGTTTTTGACTCTAAAATATATGTTGTCTCTATTGTTTAAATCTTGTGCTAAACGGTAGATAAGCTTTTCAATATTTAGAAAAGCAATTAAACAGAGGACAGAAGGATTAATAGAGCACACAAAGGAAATACGTGTTTTATATCTAAGTTATATTTCTAAATTAAAATATGGCCTTTGAAAGATTTTGACATTAGGTGGAAATCTGTCATGGAACCACATTTAAAGTAAAATTTCAGTCAAGTGTCATGTGTCTGATGACTAGATAAATTTTTGTTTTTATTGGGAATGCTTTAGCATCATGGAGACACAGCCTGAGAGGTGACACATATTGTGCCAACTACTCTTAATTCAATTAATTGAAACTCTCTAGGCCTTCACCTTGGCCTGATGCTCTCTTCTTTATTATCCTCTGGTGTTACCTTATTCACATCGTCCTTCTCCACAGAGCTATTCTTTCCACTGTGCTTCTGCCCCACCCTACATAGATGGGGTAAAAGAAAAAGAGATCTTTGGTGCCAGGGAGCCCTCGGATGAAATCTAGTCTGGAGTCTACCACTTGAGACCTACACGGCCTTCGACAAGGCTCTTTCTCAGACACTTGGTTTCCTTACTCTCGTAGATACTCACTTTACTGGATTATTGAGGATTAGAGATAATCTTTGCTGAGTCTTTACACAGAAGCTGTACATAGAAAATAGGCAAGGAATATGACCTTTTGTTACTATTTGTTATTGAAGTGTCAACTCATGTGCCACCTATTCTAAGAAGTCTTCTTGGAAACCCTAAGATGGAAGCAATTTTTACCACCTTTAATATCCAGAGATGCATTTTATTTTCACCTGGTTACTTTTATATGTGGCATTTTAATCATTTATGTGTATAAATTATCTCCTCTGTAAGATACAAAATTTCTAGAGGAAAGATTCAGGTTTCCAGATTCCTTTGTGCACCGTGCATCTAGCTAGGAGCTTGCAAGTAATAGGTGCAATAATAAATGTTTAATGAATATTTTTTAATAGAGCAAAAATCACTGTCTGACAGAACTCACATCAGTTTTTAAGTTGGTGTACTTCTGGTTTTCGTTGATCTCTCCAAATTTTCAATGCCCCACCAAATTGAATTACATCAGACACCAAATGTTTCACAATCTTTTCCCTCAAGGATGATTTATTTAATAATCACATATAATAGGAAATACAGAGAGTTACAGCAGAATAAAAACACAAGAATTATAGCTTGTCATGTTAAAAATTAAATAAAAGAGGTACTGGTTAAATGAACAGGCATATGAAATGGTTAGATAAATGTTGGGGTAGCTGAGGATAAAAATGCAAAGCAAGAAATTCAAGGGGCAGCAGCCTAACTCATCAATCCCTCTCTTCAGGATGGACTCGACAGTGATGTTTGCAGAAGGGTTGGGCACTGGAAACCTCCACTCTGACTTCCTGCTCACCAGCTCTAACTAGTAGCTCTCTTAGAGACAGAGGGAGGAAGGAATAAGGAAGATAAAAAGGAGAGAAGTAGAGAGGGGAGGGGAAGGAAGGAAAAAGGGAGAGAGCAAGAAGATTAGGAAAAGAAAAATGTGTCAACCGCACCACAACTCTTCTGAAGAAATGGAGCAAGTATTGCCACGCCCTCTGGAAGTTCAGTCACAGTGCTTTATAAGTTATATAACCTGGAAAATTGGGTTAAAGCCCATATACAGAAACTGATGAATTCCTTATAGTCCTCTATTTTTTTAATAACAAAGTCTATAGATCTTAAAGTATTAATAGGAACAAAGTGGATATTTCCTATGATAATTGAGAAGTAGTGTTTCAATTACTTCTCCCTTATGCGATTCTACAGCTTTACGTAGACACCCGGCTCAAATAGGAGCAACAGTAATTAGACTTCCCAGAGAGTCAGATTCTATTTTAAATGCAGAATATTTTCTAGCTGGTAAATACTTACTTAAAAAAGACATTAAAAGCAGTAGTTATAGTTTCTCCATAAATAGAAATAAAAAGTCCATTTTTAAGGGACAAAAAGTCACCATGACATACATATCTATAAATTTTCCCCCAATACATCATTATAGAGCAATCTTTAATGCTTACATTTAAAATATCAATTGCATTATAATGTCTATGATACAATTCAATTATTTAGCTGTGTCCTACACAAGATTTAGGTGAAACAAAAGCTAAGGATCTTATTCACAGAACATTTAAAAGCATTTGATACTCAGTCTATGCATAAATATATCTTAAATTAGTGATGCATACCTAATATGCATATAGAATATGGCTTACACGTTAAAAGAGATCTAAGTTGTGAGTTATAACATCCCACTACTTAGACTTAAAAGCTGATTGTACCCATTTCTAAAATATTGCTGAGCAGTGTGGAACCCAGGAAAGAAGCAGGTGCAACAGAAAACTCGTTAGAATGAACATGCCTCCTTCACTTTATTCTTTAACTGATGGCTCCTCTTGATTTTTTCCATCCAATTTCTACCTTTCACAAAACCAAATTCACTTAGTCTCACAATCACTGAAGTGTTTATACAGTGAAAAGTTACAACACCTAATTGTACTTGACTTTTCTTGTCAGCTAATAACGGATAAAGGTAGTTCTTCAGTTTGGAGCAAAGGACAGCCTTGCACATGCTCAGGGACACACATGGAAGCAGAGCGTCCACAGGGTGCAGGTCGTTTCTGTGCGGCAGCGTTGCAAAGTCATGTCAAGTAGTGTATTCTGTACAGAAAAGTGTGGGCTTCCATCTTCATAGATAGGTTCGAATACACACATACGCACACACACACAGTTCTTGTCACTTATCCCTTGGCGTGTAATATATTTTGTTACATCTTAATGGGACCAACAGCCCCAGAAGGCCAATTCCATTCTCAGATCCAGTGTCTATCTCCAACGATGGCTGCAGGTTCTTATTCTCTAGGATTGTAGGTACCGTGTGACTTGCATTGTGACTATGCCCGTGTGGGTGATGCCTTACGGCTTTGAAACCATGGAGATGGATGCAGGCTGGTCCACTGGGTTCAGGGACAGCTTTCACGGAGGTTTCCCAGCTTGAGAGATACAATGAAACGTTCATCAGGTCACAAGGCTAGGATGCTCCATTGTCGTCATAGGACTTCAACCACAGCTTCCGAATGGCCCCACCTTTAATTTTCTTCCCATGTATTTAATATAACAAGGACAATCTAAATAGCCTGTTCCTCAGAGCTGTAAAAAAATATTTTTTCCATGATTTTGTTTATGCTTTTCTTTTACTTAAGACCTTGAAAAATTTGTAGCTACAGCACTCTGTGTAAAACAATGCAAGAAAGCAAATTGTTTTTAAAAGCCTCATCTTTTACATATGTATTACATAGTCACCTACACGCTAACTGGGTTCAAAGTGATGAAAATGTAAAACTGTCCAACTTTCGTCTTAAAAATTTCTCTGGCTTGATTGAAGAAGGCCAAACTGTGAAGGAAAAACAATGGCAGAAGCACTGGTCAAAAACTCTGATAGCAACTTCGAGTATATTTATTTGGCCAGAGTTACCAGCTCAGAATTTACATTCCTTTTATTAATTCCTTACATAGGAGTCCAGAAAATGGCCTGATCCAAGAGTGCATTGAAAGAGGAGAATATAGCTTTGTGGAAAGTTGAAGATTTAGGATGTTTTAGTGCTGTTCTCAGTATCCTGAAATAAAATCCAAATGAAAATGATGATCAAGTTTTAGTCATGTACAAGCACCAATTATTGTGAGGCAATTTCACATTGATCTTTATACACCTTGTCAAAAAGAGGAGACTTGTCAGCATATAATAGATATTGGTTTTATATCTGTTGAAATTCTTCTTCTTGCTTCTTCTCTTTGTATGTGCATGTGTGTGTTTGTATGTTTTAATCCCAGTAAAAATTTTGACTCTTTGGATCAGAAATCACAAACTCAAATAGCTGTAGAGGCCTGGCAGGGGTATAAATGAGTTAGGTGGGCCTGTGTGAGGGCAAAAGAACTAGAGGCATGACAGCTGTAGTGAACTAGAGAGCATAAGCCCTGTCTAAAGACATTTGAAAAGGTATGTGAAATCAGTGTGAAAGTTAAACAAAGCAAATGCACAGACCAAATCCGGCCACAACCCATTTGTTTTTGACCTCTTCTCAGACAGTACCCTCAACACTAAAGCACAGGCATTGGTAGAAATGGGGAGCGCTTCTCTCCCAATGAGTAACAGGTCTGATATTGGTTTGTTTTTCAAATGCCAGCAATCTCTGACATACCTTTCAAGAAAGATAATATGATAAATAATATGTCAGCTTCTTTTAAAATAATAAACGAGAGTGGCATTGTACTTCCACTCCAATCTCATTCACTTTAACTAACAAAAATATAAAAATATTTTTAAGTCAAACAAAACACTGTTGTGAACAGAGGTCCCCGATTCTTACATCTGAAAATACACTGGAGGCAAAGACCGGCTGGCTGAAGCCCTCGGGTTGGGTGTGCTACACCCTCTCTGTGTCCAAGGCTGAACATTATGGTTGTCCCCTGGACAATGGGCCTGAGTCACAGATGCCAATTGTCATCTCTCCTGTTGTTTTCCAACTTCCCTCATTTCAGAGACCTGCCTATTCCTTGAAGGCATGTAAATTCCACCTACTGAAGGCCACGATTCCTGGTGAATTGTGTGCTGAAGGCAGGGCATTCTCAAACTCAGAAGAAAGCTAAAGGATTTAGTTGGTCCTGATAGGAAAAAAAAAAAAATTGTCCAACAGTCTGCTGGAGTTAGAATATCACTGTTTAGTTTGAGTGGGTCTCAAACTTTTCCAGCTTTAGGGTCTTTTTAATTGAAAGAAAGGAAAAAGAGACTTCATTAACTGCCAACTGAATCCCATTGAAACCTCTTACTGACGAGATGCCAGAATTTTACAGGTAATTTTTTTTTTGCCTTAGACATTTTCATACAATGAACAGTCATTTTGACAAATGTACTGGTGACCTGTGTTTCCTACACACAATTTTTGGAAAATATTCATAAATATTCCAGCTCCCTAATCCTATCCAAATCCAGAAAATAATGATGTTAAACATTTTTCCTTTGAAGCTAATATGTACACTGGCTTGGAGACATCCAGTAGGAAAGAATCTTGCTTAATTTTGTTTAGCTCAGTTTTCTAATGATATTTATTTGCAGCAAAACCTTTTGTACTTAAAATATCTGTAAATACTCCACTGAATTAGCTTTCCCTAAAATATACTTCGAAGGCTCCATCATATATCATCAGGATCCAAGGATTCTTCTAAAACAGCCATGGGCTCTAAAGGTAATAAGTTCACAGTGTGGATAGACGGTACGGAGAGAAACTGCCGTAGCTAATATGAGACAATATATTAAAATTGTTAAATATACAGATGGGTTTTAGTTGCTGAGAAGCCACTTTGTGGCTTGATTTCTATTCAAGCTTCATATGCAAAATGGGAATCACCATCACTAACTCTGTAATTCTTGAGACGAAGTCAGATAATACATGTAAGATGTTCACTACTGTGTCTGACACTTGATAGTTGCTATTAATGAAACTATTATTACCAATAAAAGACAGTCTTACAACCAACTCAAGAATACTTAGAAATGAATCATCTTAAAAGACTAGCTTAAAACTAATCACATTTTAACTCTTTCACATCTAAAGCGACATTTGAGGAGCTACTGATAACATCTCAAAGGTTTGGCATCGTACTCTCAGCATTTTCTCTTGCTGCTACCATCATCCCGACAACAGGACTCATTATAACACTTGGGTTTTGTTTCTTACTTCTTTAAGGGGACACTGAGATGTTGCCACCCTAAATGCACATCCCTCCTTTCTAACTGCCTGCACCTTCTCTGTAGGCCCAAGACAGTGGCTCTCAGCTGGAGTGCACCGAACTATCAACAGATGGAATTTCTCAAAATTTGGATTTCCAAGGCATCACTCCCAGAGTTAATAATTTGGTACTTGAAGGCAGACCCTAGAAGAGGAATTTTTATGAACGAGAACCACTGGTGCAAATGATCACAGATTCTAGCAAACATTGATGTTTGTTTCATAACATGTGCTTGCTTTGTTATTATTACCTGGTGTAAACATTCATATTTCCTACATGAAGTAGAAAAAGAAATCAGGATTAAAACTCCCCATGGACTATAGCTTATTATTTTTAAAGAACTAAAATTTTTCATTAAGTATAATTTTTATTGATGAGCAAATTAAGAACACTTTGAAAGGCAACTATTTAGGATTTTGCCTCAGAAGATAGACGATAATGATTTTTGTTAAAAAATCCAGGAGGGCATTTAAATAAGATTACTTTGTCTCTAATGAGACTTTAGAAACCATTCATTTCAGAAATTAGATTTCTTATCAAAACAATAAAATTACCTCTCATGTTGAAAATGACAGAAGCCTTTAGGGTGTTTCAAACTTATGAATGTATATCAGCATGTTTTTCTTCGGCATTTGCTAGATCTTCTGAGTTTTTATGAAGGTCAGACTCACCTAAAGAACAAGCAAACAAATTAACGAAAACAAAATAGGCCTGTGAAAAACCTAATAAGGTCAGAAAACTGAAGCAATGGGTAGAATGTTGGAGATCAGATTTTACAATGGATCTTGTAGCACGTTTCTCCAAAAATACCAAGTGTTTTCTTTTCAGCCTGTGGATTTATAGAGTATAACAGTCACCTCCTGGTGGTTATACAAGTTTGTGAAGTTGCAATTTAATCTAGGAATACAGAAATGAAACAGATGTAACATGTTTAAACATCTATTAAATCAAACATAAAAATTATGCATGTTTTTCCTGAATATTTTTAATTGCATAAAATTCTTTTAAACAAACCCTTTAATGATCAGTGTCTTTTACCACACACTGCTTAGTTGCTATGAATTTAAAACAAATGAGTATAAGAGAATAGTAGTGTTTAAGATAAGACATAGTCTGCCAAAACAAACTAATGGAATTTATAATCTTAGAAGCACTCAGTTTCTATATAAACCTTAAGGAAAAGAAATATGAGCATGGAAAATGTTCTAACATTTCTAGAGAGGTTGCCGAGAATCTATCAAAAGTAGAAACATAAAGCAAAATGTACAGATGAAAAAGTCTTATTCTATGAGAAAGAAAGTAAAAAAAATTTAGCAGAAATTAACTGTTGAGTCAATACTCAAAATATCTTGATGTTTCAGGAAATATTGTATATGATGGAATGTTCTTTTTGTCTGAAATTTGATTGAAAATATACTAACAGTTAAACTTTGCACCAATTAACTTTGAGATAATTCCTTCAACAGATGTTGTAAGACGGTGTTGTCTTAGTTGCAACAGATTTTTTTACTGAGGTTATAAAATTAGTGAATATATAGAACTGATGGAGTGTTATTACAAAGCAAAATTATTTTGTCTCCCACTTTTTCTGTAAAATATATTCGATGAGGGGAAACTAATCTCCTGTCCCAGAATCAAAGTTTCAGGTAGTATCATGACTTTTCCAATCATTCTTAGATAGTAAAAGCAGTGTGTGATTACAGTGAGTTGCCAAGGGTTTAATTCAGACATTAGAAGATCTGGCCGTATAGCATATACATCAAGCTTAAAACAAAGATAAGATTTCTTTGCCACTTTGAGTGTATGGTAGAGCCCAGAAATCGTGTGTGTTGGAGCATGATTGGTGCTCTTTCATTTCTTATTCACCCTCCCCCAACAGGCTACCCTGGACTCCTGAGCTGGAACAAGGGAGAGATGAGGACTGAGAGGAGCAGCAGAGTGACAAGTGCCACTGCAGGATGGCTTTGCACTCACTGCACTTGGCAGGTGTTTAGAGCTGATTCTTATATGCACACATTCATGGGCCCCTCAGCGACATCTTGTCAAGAACCGTGCCTACAGACTTCTAACCATGTTGGTATGCACACATGAAACTAGTTCCTTTACAAGGTCCACAACCCATGGAAATTTGTTGGTACATCTCCAGCTTCTGTCTGCTGAGGTCCTAACACCCTTTCAAACATGCGTGGGCCACATTTGGTTCACGTAAAACACCGTGAGGCATTTGTTTCCATAAATTACTTGAGTAAGGCTGCAACCTACACAGCCTCCTCTCCTTTGGCTCATCTGTCACCATCTAACCATCTAACCCTTTAGATCTCTCATTTAAGAACTAGACTCCATTCTCAATATCTCCTTAACTTCAAGCACCCCAAGGGTCCTGGCGAAGCTCTTTTCCCCTGATTTGAGGTGAAGAGGGAAGCATTTCTACACCTTTCCAGACAGCAGAGAGCTCTTTAAAGAAATCTTCCTCACAAACCCTTTTTCAACCATCAACAACCTGACCCCTTAATTTGTTTGAATTGAGTGTGGGTTATAAGCATCCTACAATTGGGTTTTGAATCTTCTCTGAAATTCCTATCTCACAAATCAACTTTTTTCTGACATTTATCATGTTAGAGTCTTGGTTTAAACTTCTGATTTAATATCCTATTACTTACGACTAGATTAGAACAGAACAAAACAGACTAGAATAGAACAGAACAGAACAGAGTGGAAAGAATAAACTGAATTAAAAGAAAGGAGTATAAGTAAGTAATTCTCTGGTTGTCAAAATTTTTGAGAGAACCTTTTACAATGAGCAAAGCACACTGAGGTCCAACTACCACCATAATGCTCTTATATCTAGTGGATAAAGAACGCACCAGTAACATAGCAGTGGATGAGGAACAAAATCATCAAACGGTAACAATGCAGCTATCTCCCAGAAGTAATCCCAAAATGATACACAGATTGCATCCAAGAGTAATTCTATACATGAAATTAGAAAAGCAGCAATTGAAAATTATGACCAACTCAAGACAAGAGTTTTACAGTACTGAAAACAAAGTGTCTTCCTTGAAAACAGTAACATTTCAGATGTTTCCAGGGGCACATACACTCCTCTGCCAAGCAATTGCATGGAAGCCAGATTGCTTAGGAAAATACTGAATTAGAGTCCACAGCAAATTCAAGTCACATTTCTTTTAGTTAATAATTCTTCAGTTGTAGAAGCCTTTACCATTAACTTGGATAGTACTACTTGGAAGTAACCTTAATCTTTCATAAGCTATCACATATCATTCTGCCAGAAAAGAAGAAATGATTTGCATAGCTGCATCCATTAAAGATCATCTTAGATGTTCTTCACGGCCCAAGAGTGGTCTATGTAAAAGACCTTGAGAAGCATCCATACAATCCAAGGTTCCAAGCAGTTTTGAATACAGCGCCTCTTCTAGTTTGGTGAAACCTACGGCCTTCTCCAAATAAAATTCATAAATAAATAAAATGCATAAGATTACAAAGGACTCATTTTATATTAAAATATAATTATCAACATATTTAAGTAATCCTAGTGATGCTATATAGTAATACATGTACTTCTTTATTAAGGCCTTAAATGACAAGGTTTAGCTGCAGGTCTATCCTCTATATAATTTTGAAGTAATAATGTTAGAAAATGATACTTCAAGGTATCTCCCTGAATTTAAATATGTTATGAAAATATCTGTGATTTCTATCGGGACAAACACAAATACCACAAATATTACTCTGTGTATTGTTGCCTACAAATGAAGGAAATCCTAAATTTTAGTTAAAGGTTAGTAAAAAGTCACTCTCCAAGTGTACAGACCTTATCTCTATAACTCTGAGTTAAAACTTTTGATCTGGTCTAATTTCATTATACAGGTAAGAAAGATGCCCAGAATAATCAAGTGATTTCCTCCAAAGTAGACCACAAATAGATAACCTGAAGCCAAAACCATTAGCTTTTAATTCACTGCTATTTATTTCAACAAGACCAGTAAAGTGGCCTTGCAATGTCATTTTACTGAAGAGACTTGCAAGCTCACATACATAGGAAGCTTTCCCTAGGGATGAACGCAATGGGTCTGTCCAAAGCTAGAGCATAGACGCATGTTTGACAGCCCAGAAAAAGGGAGCAAAGGGAAGGGACTTCAGGTCATTCTGTTCATCCTAAGGAGCTCTGAGTTGTTCATCTAAACCAGTTTCAAATGTTAAAACTTGAAAAAAGTAATTTATAAAATGATGGAAACACTGTGGTTTTGGTTTATAAATAAAGTCTAAATTTGGTGGGGGGCAAGGAAAGGATAGTGGTCATAGGAGAGAAACCAACCAAAATAATCAGAAATCCTCTAAACATAGCTAATCTGGGCTCTGAGCCTGCAATTTGAGCTATTATAATATTAGAATCATAAAATATTAGCTTCATAGATGATATAAATAACATTTGCAAGTATATAATAATACTTACAAGGCACACTATCAAGTGGATATTAGAAACTCCAGTTGTCTGGTTATGGCCTTGCTTAACTATTATTTGAAAAATAATCTGTTAGGATAAATTATTATACAATTGAGAATATAATAATAATAATCAACACCTCGTGAACAACTGCTAGGTGGTGGGCACTATTTAAAGCGCTTCACTCATCTTAATTCCCTGAATCCTCACAGCAAACCTAGGAGGTGGGGTTTAACAATTGCAGAAACTGAGACATAGCTTGACGTCCATCCAAAGTTTCAAAACTATCAAGTGGCTTCATTGCTCTGACAAGGTCCAACCAGAATCTTGACTTCCGGTTCTACCACTGCCCAAACCACAATCACCTTCACTATTTCTGCCATATCTATATGCCACCTAACCTCTTAATTACCTAATGATTTCCTTTAATAGACTTTAAATCCACTCTCTTTTAAAAAATTTAGTTTTGATCTAAATAGCAAATTTGATGTGCTTGTTGTATTTTTTAATACATAGAATTCATAATTAACAAAAAGATCATTTCTTCTGTAGATATAAAAAATAATTGAGTTAATTTAATGGTTCATATTTGCACTCACAAGTATTTCTCACTTGTCTAACCTGACAATCCCTGCGTATGATTAGGAAAACCATCAGTACGATTTCCATCCTAGATGTGAGGAACACATGGTCAGCAGGGATAAATGACTACTCAAAGGCACCATAGTCTGCATGAGTTTGGGAGACAGAACCCCAAATTATCCCCCAAAATACTTCAGTTGAATTTCCATATTTAGCAGCAACAGCAAATAATGTTTGAAAAATACTTAGCACAGAATTGGTTTGTGCAGTCTTTTCAACAGAAATCCTAGTTATGATTACACTGCATTCTCATTTCTTCGTGGGAAAAATATTACCTTTGCTATGTATAGCAGTGTTTCCTCATGCAGGCAGATCTGTCTAGGTTGCTTCAGTTTTATTTTTGGTCCACTTATGGAGCTTATGTTGCAAGGAACTAGAATGAATCGATGATCAAAGATTAAAAGTTATAGTTATTGGAAAAAAGTAATGTAGGATAAAATCAGAGCTTCTGATTCTAATCAGTATTGTTGTATCTGTATAAAATAATTTACCTTTTAGGTTGAGAATAAGAAATCTTTGGCACAAAGGGAAAACATTCTTAATTTAAATGCGTCTAGAGAGGAA